GTATAGAGAGATGCATAGAAAAGAGACAAATTTACCTGTGTATAAATATATAAGGATAGATACAGGTATAAAGATATAAAATACATAGAGATATAATATATCCTCCTTTACAGATATGTATGATAATATATCCTCCTGTCTCTCTTTGGAGAGCTGGCCAGTCTCTGACAGCCTCTGCTTGCTGGGTTAGCTTTCCCCCTCTTTCTGTTTTGGCCACCTTCCACCAAAGAACAAGTGATTTACACTGCTTTATGCCTGAATTAATTAATGTTGCATTCTAGTGTGGGTGGAAATCAACCTTTTCATTGACTTGGCTGCTCGCATGCGCACACACCTTTCCAGGACACAATTCAATGCATCCAGGAAACCTGGATTAAGGCATGGCCTCATGGCAATGGTGAGAAAACTAAACACTTCCTCACTGGAAACTAATGAGGAGTAACTGTGATGGTGGAAACATCACCCAGGTGCTGCACAAAGGGCAGAGCCCTTCTTAGAGACTTGGGAGATATACAAAGCATTAAGCATAAACCATGAATTCAGATCCAAAGTTACTCTACCGGTACCTTTGTTTCAGCTTAACCTTGCTCTCCAATTCAGAGCAATATTGCAGGCAGCAAAGAACAGAGCTTCCAGAAGTTATCAACAAGGCTGTGTCTCTAGGTAGCCAGTAGTATAGTGTTTGTGGCACTCATCAGATTGGTGGGAAAACAAGCAAGTTCACTCAGGTGGAAAGTGAAGTGGAACCACTGTCCCTGTAGGCAGGTACAAGCTGCAACTACAGAGCTCTAAGGTGTACCAGCAACTGTTCCACCTCTCTTCCAGCCTCTCCCCTGCCTGACAAGTGGTCCACGAAAGATGTTCAGTTGAAATAAACAAGGGTTTTGATAGTAAATAAAACCTGCCTGCAGAAAAGAAAGTGCTCAGCTCTACCTCTGCATCACGTAACCGTTTATGAGAATATTGGCCTAATCCAATAGAAACCTTCAGCAGGTTCCAGTATGAACCAGCAAAAAGAAGAAAGAAAAAAGGGAAGAAAGAAAATGAAACCTTTCCGATAGCATAATGATTTATTGCTTACTTTCAGAGTGCAAAGGGCAGGTGGGGCATCCGACTCGTGTTGATATTCAGTGGAAGTCAGCATTTCTGCGCCTTCTGAAAAAAAACCCTTGTAATTTCTGACAACGAGACAGTGAGAAAGAAGGAGGTCTCATGATGATCTGCATAAGTGAACTAAGAGTCCATCTTACTCCGGCATCTGCGCAGATAATAGTCTGAGCAGGCTGGTTTCTGATCCCTTGTGAATCACACCTTCACTCTACAAGGCTGTAATAGGGACAGTACCTAGTCTTACATATCACTTACAGTCTCTAGCACTCAAAGTACAGGACTAATCCTTTGAATGACTTACTCAAATACGGACTCAAGTGTTCACAACTGCTTCCCAAAAGAGGGAAAGGGAAGTAGCAGCAATGTTCTTGTTTTGTCTGGTTAAAATCAAAGCTTTCTAATACACTGAATAAACCAAGAACCACAGGTTCAGGCAGCAACGTCAATTAAATACGGTCAAGATGGCAAGCACAGAGCCTGGGTACTGCAGGTAAGCACATGCTTAAAGCCAAGAATGCACCCTTCACTGCTACATTCACCAAAAGCAAATGTCCAGCACCTTTGAAGCGCGTCTTTGAACCGTGGTCTCTGGATCTGGGCCAAGAGAGAAACAAATTCCTGGCTCCGGTGAGCTTTGCAACCTGCCCTCAGGTGTATAAATCTCAAGGCACCTCCTCTAATTACAGTTTCAAGAGTGAAATATTGGAGGAAGCAGTTTTAAAGAAACCTTGCCATCACTTCTGCCACATAGATATTTATGATCTCATCTCTGTCTGCAGGGTCAATACTTCCACCTAGAGGTGGTTTTCCATAAGGATGTCACATTTATGTTGATGCTTTTGTAGAGCCGTTCTGCAGCAACGAATGGGCTGGAGACTGGGGAAGCTCATGCCTGCAGCCAACTATTCCAGTTTGGCAGGACTCCTTCCTTCTGTTTCTGAGTGGTGGCCTACCAGTTCCCTGTGATTCATTCACACTTCAGTGTTAAACCAATGTACAGACCTAGTGCAAAGCTTAAATACAGCCAGAAGGCTCCAGTCGGTGGCTCAAAGGAGCTAAAAGTCCGACCTGTTTACTTTTAAAATCAAACCTTGTCTTTCCTGGCTTGATGGAGGGTTAGAGACAATGTAAAGGGAGCTTCATCACCCTTGCATTGATGATCGCTCCTGAAGTCTCTGCTTGGAGGGGATGAAATCCTCTCTCCGATAAGCAGAAGACATCTGCAAAACCTCATCCTTAAAACGCTTCAGAAGCATTGCATAGGACCCTCTGCACAGAGGTGGAGTTTAGAGAGCAGCGGCACACTGATTCCTTTAGCACACACACGTCTGAAAATCCAGCAGCCTGTTCTTACTTCATAAATGGTTAGCACCACATTTCTGCATTAGCTGGCCCTGATTCTGTTTTCACGTGCGTCATCGCATACCCTGGTATAACTTTAAGCATACTCCAGTACAGTTGCTCTAATTGCTGATGACAGAACACCTAGAATGGGTCACATTTATTTCATAGTCGTGACTTACTACAGAGGCAAGGGGTAAGTGCATTTGTTTTAAAAATACCAAATTGCTTTCAGCTTTAAACTGTCCTTTTGATTTTGGAATGCAATTGGTGTTGCATTATTCTGACCTGCGAGAACCCTCACCAGTTACGCTGTTCTTGGAATGCCAAGAACATTAAGTCCGTCAAAACCACGAATGCTGCCTTACTGATTATGAATTCAATCCTGATTGCACTGAAAACAGTTGTACAATTCAATTTGATTTCAGGGTAGTCAGAAATGTATTGCCAAACATGGTTACTCTGAAGCTGGATGAGCTACTGGATGTGCTACCTTTGAGGGGGCTTTCTATAGAGCTTCATGTCTGGGCTCTGCAGAATTAACTGAATGTGAGGTCTTTGACAAATCTTGATGGGAAACGTCCTGCTTTGATGCCTCCATGTTCAAAATTGCTCTCTTTTTTTAATCTAAATGTATTTTATAAAACAAGTTGGGTACCTGAAATGCACTTCAAATAAACAGCTTGTTGGGTCTGCGGGTACGGGGGATTTTGCTGGGTATTTTCATGGTTTGGGTTGTTTGGGTTTTATCTTCTCCAGAAATGCTGATCAGCCAGCAGCTTTGTGCTGACGGGGTGAGAATGCTGCAGTGTGCCAAGTGGTGCCCTGTTCCCCCCAGCTGCTGGTATCCTGCTGCCCATCACACATCATCACCCCTGGAGCCCACAGAAACTCCTGTGTCGTGCCTCCATGACAGGGGTACAAGTCTTGCTCTTTCTTCTGATTTCCTGAATGAACAGGAGCAAAGAATGCAGGCACTTATGATCCCGGTGTCTTTGCTGTAAGATGGGGATAATGAGCTGGTTCTGCCTTACAGAAACCCCATGAGGATGCAGTAGGGATGTTAAAGTCCAGCTGAGGTCTGAAACTCATTGACACACAGCATCCAGAAATGCCCTGTTCACTCCCCTGCTGACCCCTGTGCATCTCCTAACAAGAGAAAAGATAGCATGCAGGACTGTGAGTCTCTCTTGTTTTGTGATAGGCTTCACCTGAGGTGGGGAAGTCTGTCTCTTTTTATTGCTGTTATTCTACAGTTTAGGAAAAGGGTCTGCGGGTGACACGTGTGGAAACCTTTTCTGTATCATTTGGACCTTTTACTTAGTTTAATGGTATTTAAAGCTGGTTCCTTAGAGGAGAAGGAATGAACTGCATCACGACACTTTGTCTTTACTGTCACACCTTGTCACTTACCAGTGCAACCACACCAAAACCTGCATTCTAAGGTAGTACTTGGACTCCAGACATGTATCAGTACAGAAGCATGGTGAGCCTGTGAACCTCTACATGTGAAGAATCTTTCTTCACAGGTGAAGACACTTCACTGTCTTGTCAATACTAATCAGTGTTAATCAAACCTCCCCATTAAAACACAGGTGAGTAACGCCCAGCCTTCTCTGTCTCAGCAAGCAATGCAGCTTTTCCAGCAGCAGCAGAAGTCCTTCTGCTATACCCCAGTTTACCTACTGGTGCAGGATGCAGCAAGGCTGGTCACCGTAACCCAAGTCAACACAGTGCATTGACAAGGTGCTGTTGGAAGGAGACCGATGGCCTGGTATGTTTGGGCAGCCTGTAACTGGTTGACAGGACATTGACTGAGCATCCCATGGTCAGACAAAGTCCAAGGCAGTCTCATGGCCCTGGCAAGCTATCTGACCTCAGCGACAGGAAATAAAGCTCTCCATGCTAATTCCAGATGAAATCTAGGGAAAAATCCAGAAAAGCTCTTGAGCATATCTGATGCTGCCTTTTGAATTTGTTGGTAATTTGTCACTCTTCACTCACTAGACCTTGCCCCAGATCAGTTAATGGCACCAAAGACCAGTGGCTATGGCAGGGGACCACACTTGGGAGCACCATGGCCAAGTGAAACATGCCTTGGAGATAACAAGGGTGAATCTAAGTACAGCACAGAAAGAAGCAAGATCGGTATCAAAGAAATTAAGCATATATGCTGCTCCCCGAGTCCATTTTACCTGTACTCTGAAAACTTTGCAGAGTTGGAGCCAGCACCCAGGACTTAGATTTCTATAGGAGTGGAGGGGGGAACCTTCTTACCCCACATACATAACTGGGTAATCCATCTCAAGGAGAAAAGCGTGATCACATGGTGAAAAAAGTTGCTACTATGGTCTTTTTTCCAGTACCCTCTTACACACAAAGTAAGTTAATAGTTAACCAGCTAGGCCCACATGGTATGTTTGATAGTAGAGAGGGTGTGAATGAGGGAGATTAAGGGTTGTAGAAGCAGTCGTGCAGCTATTTGAGCTGATTTGTATGAATGCCCTGGTGGTTTTACCCATGCTTCTTCCTTTCTTACTGTTTTTAAGGCAACACGTTGGACGCCATCCTGGTGTCTCTGAGATGAATGGAAAAGAACATTGACTCACTTTGTGTGGGCACTGCGGAAGAAAGCGGTGGGTATTTTTTCAGGGGGAGCTGAAATAACAGGCTGGATGGACCGGCGTAGTGAAAGACGGCCGAGACTGCTGTGCAAAAGTGGTTGGCGGTGTTGTGATTTCTTGCTTTTTAAAAGAAACTAGGGCAGGAAAAAGATTGTAGGTGGCTTGCTACTTCATTGGGGGGTGGAGGATGGCGGGGTGAGCAGAGCCGGTTTGGAGAGCTGAGCAAATAGTGTCGTTGAGTAGTGTCAGTCACAGTTCTGAGCTGGGAACATGGGGAGCTACAGTTTTATTCTGACTTTTAGCAGCAATTGAAGGTTCATGCCAGGCAAATGACTTTACCAGTGCTGCTTTCTCCAGGACCCTTCTCCATAGCTGCCCCTGCAGGGCAAAGCAACATTTCCGACTCTGTTTCTCAATGAATGGTTTAGCTAGAAAACCCTAAGCTGTTTCAGACCTGCTCTTCCTCTCCCTTGAGATCATACAGCTGAGCTTGTGCTGCTGGATCACCGCACATGGCAGCAGGCTGGTGGCCACCCTCATGCTGGGGCTTTCCCCTCCCTTCTCGATGGTGCAGCACGCACCATGCACGCAGGGATCCTGACTTTGCTCCCAGAGGCATTGACTTGGAGAAGTCCTCAAGCAAGGCTTTGTACTCGCACTTTTGGCAAAGTCACCTGATGTATTAGCTGTCCGGTTCTCGTAGCCTCCTGTTGTAATACGAACACTAAATAATGAATACAAATGGCAGGAATTTAGTATGACTAAATGTTATCCAGACCATAAAACTCAAACAGAAACAACAAAGAACTGTTTCGCTGCATAATTAAGCTAGAAATATTTCAGGCATTTGGTAGTGTGAAGCAATATCAATAGAAAGAAACAGGGCACTCCTAAGCCTAAAAATAAATACATATTTATTTGAAACCTGATAATTGAACAAATTATGTTCAGTCTCTTTGAAAGAGACTGAATATTTTCTGTTTAAGTTAGAGATCCATGACTTGGCTGAGCCATAGACAAAGCTGCTGAGTAGGTGATGTGCTGCAGGCTATTTATACTTTGCTCTTCGCCCCAGTTTTAGGGCACAAAGCTGCCTGCAAGCCATTGCCTTAGAATCACTTCTTCGCACCAACGTTGTCCACCCTTTTGGCCACAACAGACCCTGTACCTGCCTCCTCCAACAAATGAGCAGTTTTTGTCTTCTGTTGGCTTTTTATCTTTCCGAACACAGGAGAAGCATTGTCATACAGCCCCATCAAACAATTTGACACACCTCCATAGTGAACCACATGCATAAGGGGACACCTCTATTTTGGTCACTCAACATATATGTCTCTTGTTAGTGCAGTCAGGAAGAGTGAGGTCCCTAAAAAAGATGATAGCAGGAAGCAAGACAAAACATACCAGACCTCTGAGCTGGGAACAGTGCTTGCTCCTGCTCCAGGTTTGACAGGCTTCAGGGAAAACAAGGAGCAAGCAATGGACTGGGTTAAATCTTGTGACAGGGCTGAACTCTGCGTGCTGCAAATGATTACATTTTTCACCATATATATACCGTGCCAATTTATTGTAGTGGATCCAAGCGTTTTGCATGACTACAATAACAGTAACAAAATTGTTTGTTTTTTTTTATCAGCACATAAAACCCCCAAGGCTATCTACCCTTGAGTGATGCCAACACAGTCTTGCTGGCTTAGCTGCATTAACATCAGCCCTCTTTCACTGGTTAGGTCAGCAATCATAGAATCATAACATCAGAATGGTTTGGGTTGGAAGGGACACCTTCCACTAGAGCAGGTTGCTCAAAGCCCCATCCAACCTGGCCTTTAACACTTCCAGGGAAGGGACATCCACACCTTCTCTGGTTCAGGTGTCTCACAATCTTGCAGTAAAGGATTTCTCCCTCATACCTAATCTAAATGTCCCCCCTTTCAGTTTAAAGCCATTCCCCCTTGTCCTATCGCTACATGCCCTTGCAAAAAGTCCCTCTCCAGATTTCTTGTGGGCCCCTTTATCATAAAAGATGGGCAGAGATTACTGCTGTGATGAACTCTACACTTTAATATGAACTAACATATTATGTCCATTCTAAAAATACATAAATAAGATGCAGGAAAAGATCCTTAGTTTTAGAGCACTGTAGCCCTGTTGATTTCCATGGAGCTATATTAATTTACATGAAATGCAGTTCCAACTTTGCATTTCCAGTCCAACCTTCTCAAATGGAGAGTAGGAAAGAAGTATAGAAAATACATGAAGATGTAAGACTGTAGATCTAGTCCCTCAAACATAGACAAGATTACAGAAAGACAGGAAACAGAGAGTAAAATCCTGATCTTATTTCTACCTTTGTGTATTCTTGGGATTATTTTTCATTGCTCAGTTTGGTTCAGGTGCATAGAATCTAGATCATACCTTTAAGGCTCCCTCGTATTCAACATCTAATAGTGCTTATCAGTTACTGATTCTAAAGGGCAGAAGTCACCGAGTAATTGATGTCTTATCTACAAGAAATAATTCTCTTGATAGAAGTCTCTGAGCTACACAAAGCCAATTATTATTTCCAGGAACTTTTAACTAAGGAAAAATGCATCCTTGAAAACTATCAATCTTAATTCCTAGTGTAGCTCAAGTGTTTCATTCACTCTGCCTGATTTTCAGCCTGTCCCCTGGAGAAAACTATGTGAGGTCATCGCAGCGGTCATCAAATGAGATGAGGTGAACTTTCTGATACTCTTAATTAATTGTCCTGTGCCCATTGGTCTGTCTCTAATAAGAGCTTGTGGTGGCTTCATGAGCTAGGGCATTGCAAAATACAAACCCAGTCACTTATCTGTGGCTGATAAACCTCATCTGCTCCTTAAAGCTATTCTTCTTCTTCCCCCTGAACAATCAAACCCAAAAAAGTTTTTGGCTTCCAGCTAGAGAAACAGTGTGGAACCAAACCCCATCCTCAGCAATCACAGGCAGCCACTTGGCTGTCCTCACTGCCTGCTTATCGCCCGTTCTCTGTACAACTGGCTTTTCCATATTACCCATTTGAAATCATTGATTCACAAATGCTCTAGAAGATGCCCAAAATTTGCCAGTGTTTTGCTACAATACAGCTATGAATCAGAGAAAGGATCGGTAAGAAATAAATGACTTTTGATTAAAGGATACAGCACCATTTTTGTAAGAACCTTTGGGAAGATAACACGGAAGGCCTTGCCCATCTTACCCGAGTCTGGGCTCAACAGTGACAGCTGTAAATCAGAAAGAGCAATGCCACTGAGGTAGTGCTACCACTTCCCCTCTTTCTTTCCTTGAGAGCAAGAAATGCCAGGTCTGACTTACCTTTTCCTGGAGAGGTGAATGGGATGATTTCATGTGTCAGTGAGGAAACCTGGGCAGTCTAAATGAGAGTTATAGCAGTTAATGTCTGAGAAAGTCAACCAAATGGACTAGTCTCGCTGTCAGTAAAAATAAATGATCTAAAGCAGTCGCTAAATCATGAAGAAAAGAGTATTCTGAGCAAATGGATCTCAATAAAAAAAAGCTGCTCTGGAAACACGGAATTCCTCGAGTGGTTCTGTAGAAAAGAGCACGCTGTAAAGACAGCCATCAGCCCAAACAGAAACACAGGTTAAGACTGAGCTAATTACTTTCTGCATGAAAATCTATTGTGAGTACATTTACTTCTTGGGGAAAAACAGGTTATGTTTCTTAAGAGAAATTCATGCTCCCTTGTACATGTATGTTATATGACATCTGTGCAGATTGTCTTAAGGCATTTTAAGAGAGATACAGTAGTTTGCATTAAGATTTTCAAACCTCTTCTAAGGTTATTTTCTATGAGACAGTAAATTGCAGGACAGTTCCCTAATAAATAGCTCATTTCTTTTTGCAGGATCTAGGCCAAATTCAGTGGTGGACTCTATGTAACATAACACACACATCAACAGCTTCACTGTAGTCTCCCTTTCTCTCTGCTATCCCTGCCCTCAGAGAAGCAGAACAATTTCTGGAGAACAAATGCCAAGAGACTCAATGACCAGACAAAAACTGATCATGAGGGACTTGCATGGGGGGGAAAGATGTACCTCCCCTGACATCAGGCCTTTTTACATCCATCTGGATCTGAGGTGGTGTAACTGGCATTTGACCAGCTGAAAACAGTGTGGATTCAGTGGAGCTGCAAAAGTTTAATCCAAAAGCTTAAATTCAGACTTGAGTTAATTCTTGCCAAACCCACCAATAACAAAGTAAAAGTATGGCTTCGGGTATGAAGGAAGTACGGACACAGATTAAATCAGGAAGATGCCTGCTTTCTCATCTTTTACTAACACTGCTCTTTAGAATATCCATCACATTCATTTTGCACGGTCAGATGGTACAAGCTCTAATGCCTTGTAATCTATGTACTTTTTCTGACCAACCTGTTAATGACTCCTAACATCTCTCTTGCTTATATTTGAGTTTTTCTTGCCCCAGATTTTGTCTCTGAAACTCCTTGTATCAGAACAGTGTCAGTTTGAGCTGACATCCATTTCATGTATCATCAGAAGCCTACAAGGTCTAGATACCTACATTTAGGCTAGTTTTCTTTAGTCACTGGAAGGCATTGGGTACTGATAGGACATGATTCATATGGCCCCTTTTAGACCTCCTTTAGATGGAATGAATCATGGCCTAGACATGCCTATTTTGCCTTCCATCAAAGGAAGCCTGGAATGACTTATTCAGATGTGAACACCTGCAGTCAAGATGCCTACATCATTGATATCTATACAATGTTAGATGGATCCTTACCTTTGATTGATAGCCTTGTCATAACAGCAGCTTGGCTTTCCAGAAACATGACACTTACTGTTTGGTGAAGGAGCATTAATGCTGTAGAATTTGGCTTTCTTTGGTATTCATCTCCAAATATTCTTCACTGTTAAAAGGAAAGTGACTGCATCTTTTGATGTTTGGTTTTGGGGTGGGTTTTTTTCTGTGATATATCTTCTTATATGTGCTTTTTCTTTTTTCATTCTTCTTCCTAGCAATGCTGCTCATAACAAACACTGAATTGAAAAGAAAGAGCAAAAGCAAATCTTCAACTTCTACCAAGGATCTGAAGATGGGTTAGACCAAGCTTCTAGCTTGCATGTGTACATTGGGTGTGAGGAATGCATGCTG